TATCAAATTAATAATTAATTGTATAAAAAGATATTTAAATAATAAATATAATGACAAATTATTTACTGGAGCCTGCTTTCATTGTCGGACAAATTGACGAGAACATTAACCTTTCTCTGCCTCCAGCTTCTGGAGAAGAATACATCAAAAGAGTAGTGTAAGTAAACGTCTCGAAATTTCACGTTAACGGTACAATAAATAATTGTAAATAATTTTCAGAATAGAAGCACAGCAATGTGCTGGTGTTGTTGTAGCTGATGTCGATAAAAAACGTTTTGCAAAACCCACGATTGAAGTGGAACCAGTAAGTTTGTAAAATTTGGTTTTCAATATTATTTATCCATAATATAAAAATACTATTCTTGAGAATAAAAGAATAAGACATATTAACAATACAAATGCAACATTATAAGTTATCAGGATGTGTGAAAGCACCACCATGGCTTGGTCCTACACTGAATTGGCAATTATACCAAGTATCAGACTTTTCAAACATTAGATTGTACATAAGTCAATTGAAAAATGAAATTCAGTCAGCAAAACGTAAATGGAGACCTTTAAAGATCGATATGGTATGTGTTAAAATGCTCTTCGATTAGTCTCTTCTGACAAACACTTGTTTGGCTGTTAACACTTTAATCTTACAGCCAAATATAGATGATGAAAAAGGTTGGATCAAATTCTGTTCAGGTAGAGAGGAGACAAGGATAGTTCCAACGCTAAATGCAGTTTTTTGTTTAAATCAACCAATGGTAGAACAAATATTGGAATATTTGGTGGAATACATTGAAACACAGACAAAAATCGATTATGAATTGGGTCAATGGATATACGCGTTGTTGGTTGTCTTAGAGATGCCATTAACACCGGACATGTGTTCTTGTTTACGTTCTCTAGCCAGAACGTGCTCAGTAATGCGTGCAAAATCGGTAATTAATAAAATTAAATTTCAATTTGTCACAGTAGCCAAAAAGAAAAACGCTATTTTGTATTGTTTAACAAATCAATTTTATTGCGTAAGTGTATATTAAATTTCCCATTGACATAAATCGAAGAGTAAATTAAAGGAATCGTCTAGAAAACGTAAAATTATTATTTGGTATTAAATAATAATTTTACAAGTTAAAAAGAAATACAAAAATCGTTCACCGACACTTTCTCTAATTAATTCACAATCTAAATCTTAATTCAGCCTACTTTTTCTTTTTTTTTTCTCTTTAGAAGAAACTGGAAGTACATGAAATAGGAGCACTGAATTTATTTATATGCCTAGTTGCAAGATATTTCCGCCAGTTGGACTTGGCCGATCCTGGAGAAACTTGTGTTTATTAAAGTGCAATTACAATTATACTTTTATGTACTTTTTAATGAAATTGATCTTTTGATATACATCTATGTTGTTCTTGCACACCTTCCCTTATGATCATTTAAAATACACTACTGGTTACAGGGTACAATGAAGCAACGTTTTTTCTTTTTTTTAATTAAATAAAAGTGTATTACAATAATCAAATAGTAAGCAAAAAGAAAAAAAAAAGAATTAGAAAAACCAAAGATTATTCTTAAGCTATATCTTCTTGGTCCAGGAGCAGTGCGGTTGCTAATCTTTCTAAGTCATCATAACTAAGGTTATTCACTTTATTTTTCAGGTCTTTTATCACCTCATTGACTATGGACTCTGTCTCTGATTGTGTGTAATAATGCCTCAGAACTCTAGAGATCTCATCTCGCAACAGCTGGGTGCCAGACTTGCTATGTGAAGCCTTTACCTCGCTAGATCCTTCTTCTGTCTTTTTAATTACCAAGAGATTTAACTTACTCCCATCCTTGATTCCTGGATAGAAACTCAATGGATTTTCATCTGAAAAACAGTTCCATTAATCAAAAACTCCAACATTATCTTTGCAAGTTTAGTCTTACCAGCTAATGTCTTGCCAGTAAGCAACAGTGTTTGTTGTGGAACATCTATGCCCAAGAGGTCACTGACTTTGTGTTTTAACTGAAGGACAGTGTCCGAGGGCATAATCTATTTGAAACAGATAATCACTTAACCATTCGAATAGCCTCAAACCGTGTTTTACCACCATTGAAATTATTATGAGTAAAGATATAAGTACGTATATATGGTGATTTGGAAATAACGAAAAAATAATGTGTGTAAGCGTGGGAGAACCTTCGAGAAACGTCGTCAATAGTATACGAGCAAATATAAATTCATCGGGCGACGTTCCCGTTGTAAATAAGGGGGTAAAAAACGAGCCAAGATGCCTGTTACTCACGTCAACAACGCATTCTTTCCCCTGAAGCTTCTTCACGATAACTTTCATGTTGCGATGCGCTCTACGGAGCGTCCGTGACTCGACACGAGCGTATAAAATCAAATTCTTCGAAAGAACGAGACCTTTAACGACACTGATAAAGATTCGAGCATTTTATTGAGAGGTTATATTTTGCGACACACGATATTACTAACACACGGCGTCATCAACTATTTCTACCGAGGACACGCGTACACATGCACACAGGTAGTCAGACACCCATCGACGGTGTAATACAGAGGTCGATACTGGACGTTGTTTATCGATACATGCGCGCCATTGAGATCTTCCCTTTCCTTTTTTTAAAGTGTCTAATCCATCATTTGATCACGTGGAAATATTTTTAAACTTTGTCACCATCTCAAAGTTTCGTCAATATAGTTCTCTTGCATTTTAAAAAACCGATCCTCATTTGCGAAAATATAATCGTTCACATAGTTTCGATACAATCGATTTATCGATACGCGCAACATTCGATTTTGGCGGTTAATCTAAACGTTTACATTTCATTTAAAGGTTAGACTGTTTATCGTGCACGAAAAAGCGCGAAAGCATAATGGAAAACGGGAAGAACACCATGGATAACGTTAAAGAGGCAAAATTCGATGAAAATTGTACTAACCATGAAGAGGACATGGAAATTACTTGCAGAGGAAACTTAACCCCTTATTTCGAGGCTTGGGATCACAGTATATGCAAAGTTCATTTGTCAAAGGTACGTAGAAACAAAAAAGTATATTTCATTTATTGTGACGCAGAAATCTTTTGTTTACTTCACAATTGTTACTTCTTCCTAATATTGTGGCGTGTTAGGAGGTTATAAAGTGTTAATAAAATATTGAACGCTGTTAATGACTGGAAGATTAAGTAATAAACGCCTTTTGTAACTGCACGCAATTGTCCCGGTATTATGTAATGTTTGATTGCCCTTTTGTAAACAAAAGGTTCTGACTATCGTTAATGAGATCTAAGACGCCAATAAACCTACGAATTGAACTGTAGAACAAATATGGTTGTGAAAAAGCAATTGAGTTAATCGTATACGTCTTACGATACAAGAATATGAGATAAACTCGTTGTAAATAAACATCGTTTAATTGTAAGTCATCGATTCTTTTAAGAATACGCTTCCAGTAATTGTTCGTTCATAAATCATTCATCTCCAGAGTAAATAAAATATCTAACTTCAAGGCATTCAACGTTTCAAATTCCACCTAGGTACCGCAAATATGCAAAGATGAACCATGTCAGCTTGGCATTGATGAGGCTGGACGTGGACCAGTCCTCGGACCCATGGTTTATGGAATCTGTTATGCACCTCTGTCTAAGAAACAGCTTCTCGTTGATCTGGGTTGTGCAGACTCGAAAATTTTAACAGAGGAGAAGAGGGATGTAATTTTTGACAAGATTTGTGAGCAACATGAAGCAATGGGCTGGGCTGTGGATGTGATATCACCTAGTATCATTGCAAACAGCATGTACAGACGCACTAAGACATCTCTGAACGAGGTGTCCATGAATTCCGCGATTCAGCTGGCTAAGAAGATTATCCAGAGTGGTGCACAGATTACTGAAATCTATGTGGACACAGTAGGCAGTCCAGAGAAGTATCAGGCCAGGTTGCAGCAAATTTTCCCAGATGTGAAGATCACAGTTGCAAAGAAGGCTGATTCCACCTACCCTATTGTTAGTGCTGCCAGTATTTGTGCCAAAGTTTCACGTGACCATGCTATAAGAGCCTGGCAGTTTTGCGAAGGTGATATAGAAAGTGAGTATGGCAGTGGTTATCCAAATGATCCAGAGACCAAGAAGTGGCTATCAGAGAACGTGGACCCTGTGTTTGGGTTCCCACATATTGTCAGGTTCAGCTGGTCTACGGCTGAAAAGATCCTGGAGTCAGAAGCCTTGTCGGTTGAGTGGGAAGATCTAGAAGACACAGAGCATCGTGGTGAACAGAAGATATCTAATTTCTTCACTCGGTCACCAGCCAAGACTTGCCAGTCCAGGAAAAAGCGACACCAATTCTTTACTGAGAGATGTCTCTTCAATACTTCTGTCTTGTGATGTTTCTAGTTTACAATGTGAATTTTTACATACACACAGTGTCTTACAATTAAAAGCTATTTTTTTTTAAATAAAAATTACATCTCTCTCTCTCTCTCTCTCTCTTTCTCTCTCTTTCTGTGAATAACACACACAAATACATACAAACATATTTGCCTTTCATCCACAGACTTCATTTTATTATCAGAACATTAAGTTAAAGATAAAAGTTGGTTCAATTTATGTACATATGTACAGTGTGCTCTTACAAGTAAAATACAGTTTGCGCGAAGAGTAGCAGCTTATGATGGATGCCTCTGCTCACTCTATTCGTTTCTTCACTTGTAATTAACAATTAGGAATGTTATTAACGCGAAAATGTTTTCGAATTGTTCTTTGGTAAAATTCACACGCTACGCTCACACTCGTGACTCAGAATAACGCTAGGATAACATATCTTTGCGGCTGATTAATAGCGACTAGATTGATAAAAGCTACGACGAAAGAGAACACTCTCACCGGATTGAAGCCTTGCTTGTTCTCTTGCGAATGGACGATAGAAACACTCGTGTATAATTTTCGATATAAATATGCTCGATATTCTCACATTCATTCTGATTATTTTTCACTCGTATACACTCACACATACACACGCATTCCTTTAACAATAAGAGATGAAGGAGAGGAAAGGAAAACGTACATAGAGCCATAGATTGCACACTCTAGAAAGTCTGAAGATACTTTGATGAATGTAGATTTATAAATCTTGCTTTTTCTTTAAGCTCTCAATGACTGAATAAAAATCTTTAACATAACTGTGATCATCTTTGGTTCGGTTAGTTCTTAAGTCTCCATGTACCTTCTTTACAAATTGAGTATTTTTTTTCCATTTTTCATAATTACGGACATTTGTTAGAGTACAGCGAAGAGATAATACGGTAAGAGATAGAAATTTTATCAGACGAACAGGGAGATTGACAGGTAGATCCAGTTAAGTACGAATTTACAGGTCCTTCCATCACTAACACTAAAACGTACTGATGTATATATTTCCCCGCCTATGTCACGCTAACTGCACTAACTGCGATTATAAAAAATAGAAACAACACGGATAATTTTGTACACAGGGCTTCTCCACACAAATCAACTTGGAGGCCTTTAAAAAGGATGAGCACGAAAATCACGCGGCACCGCCTTGTGTCCCTTTTTTCTTTTTTTTTTATCGTAGAGTCAATAAACTCGTGATCACTAGAAAGACGCTGGGTGCTAACATGCCGCATCCGCTTCCTGAAACAGAGAAATCGGGAATTTTCAGTGAAACGCAACGTCGTTAAACCATGACTTAACCTCGAAAAAAAAGAAACATAAAAAAAAACATGAAATGTATGGTAGAGAAATTCGAGCGAAAAATCGGAACGACGTATCGTTTGACTCTAATTCGATCGATACTGGCCAAGGAACTGCATCCACAGCTGTATGTAGGTACACGGTTTACTCGACGTTTGTCAGCAAATTGTCGACAAACGAATACCAGTGATACGACGTATCGGCAAGCTAAGGCCATCTGATTTGACGTCATAGTTTTTGCGACTATTTTTTGCTGATCTCATCAGGGTAGCCAGTCGTTTTTTCTTGGCATTTGATTTTAACGATTAATTTAATCTGATCGCAGAATCACGATCACGGTCGTGATTTAACTTCATTTACGACCGAGATCGTGATTTTTTGTCTGGAGTGAATTTGCTCAATGTGATCGTAATTCTTGATCTTTAAAAATAAACATATTCAATATGATTTGAAAATGAATTACATTACTATTTGCGTTTTTAAAAATCAGTGGAAAAAAAAATTATAAAAGAATGATTTGCTATAATTATACAACATATGTGTTATGTAACATATTAGAATGAATGATAATAAAAGAATCTATAAATTCACGCATGCAAAGAATTGCTGTTATGTTCTCTATCAATCAGAAACGACCATGAAAAATCACGAATCTCTGTGAAAAACCACGATTGGGAACGAACATAATAGAATCACTCGTGATTCACAAGTAGTAGTTCACACGTCACCTCTAGTGGTGAGGGATCGTTGAGGGATTCAGGGCTCTTGGGACACCTACGACGGCGGAAAAAGACGATAGAAGACAGATGCCATGATAGATTTTAGTTGTTTTACGCTATTTTGAAAATATCGAAGATATGAAACATTTCTGAATTTTGAAACCTTTTTAATCAATTTTTGAAGATTTTTGAAATGGAAATTTCAAAGTCTGAATCTTTTATAATTTTTTAAATTAAGTTTGAATTCATTTAATTCGAATCTGAAGCCTCAATGATTTTTTTAATTTGAATTAATATTTTTTAACTTGTCTTAATTTTTTTCTGCTTTTTGAAATTTTTGAGGATTCAGAAAAGAGTGTATTTTTCGAATGATATAATACACGATAAAAACGATTCTCTCAGAGAACAATCAGCATAACTTTTTCATGGCATATTTGATTTAGGAGAGATGCCGGCTTTGAAAATTGGATAGATGCATTTACGTTTAACCCCTTCGCTGCGGCAGTGTTGACTGCGAGTACGCTGCCGCTGTACGGGGCAGTCAGTACAATTTACTGACAGAACGTAATATTATTTTTTTCATTATTTTCACGGTTCTAATGACAATACAATAAAACAATTCGATAAAAGTAAATCGGTTACTCTGGAGATATCAAGCTATTTAAGTTATGCTTGAAATTTTTAAAGATGATTATAGTCACCAGTAGGATATAGCGAGCGCTCGACAATGGGTGACTGTAGTCACCGTTAGTAATGAAAGGGTTAATTGAGACATATCAGTGGTTCACAAACATCCTACGAAATAATTTCACTCGCTTAGTATATTTCCAAATGATAATATCCTTCTTTATCATCGTTCGATAACCTATACGTTCTTTTATCGATGGTGTAAAAAATTGGTTCTCTCAAGCACAGATGTCACTCTAACGTCAATTCCCCCAAGACATTTCTGCCAAGTGCAAGTTTAGTCTGAAAGCATTCTTCAAAGTGCTTTCCGTATTAAATGAAGTTTTCCTATGAAAAAGTCAAGACAGTTCTGCCAAGTGCAGGTTTAGTCTGAAAGCATTCTTCAAAGTGCTTTCCGTATTAAATGAAGTTTTCCTATGAAAAAGTGTTCTACATTTTCCACGCGTTTTGTTCCGCTGAATAACTTTTTTTTACGATTCTATGCGAAAGTTGTGTCATTTTATCCCGGCTAACTTCCCTCCTTCTCTCTCCTTACCACCTAAGATATGTTCTGCGTGCGTATGGCCTTGTGCCCTTGTCTCCCTGCTCTCCATAACTGGCATCTTGAGGGGCCTTTCACCCTCTATGCTAAGCTCGTTCGATTTCCAATATACGGTCGCTATCGTCGCTAGGCATTTGATCTTCAGGTCGCCCCTCTTGAAGTGCTTCGTACGCAGACGGAACTCTAGTCCTAATACTGCCGTCTCCAGACCCTCGCGATCCACCTCGGTGATGTGGGGCCCCTTCAAGTATTGCGTGTCGACCTAAACGAAAAGAAAGGCTGGTTCTCACGTGTCTGCCAGTGGAATTGGGGTGGGAGGAATAATAAGGGTGGATAAGATGCGTCTGAACAATTAATTGATAGCTCTTCGAAGGAAATTTTTGACAGGTATCAATACCACGAGGGAGGTTAGGTTTAAAATGAAATTTGATTTATCTTGTTTTATTCGGAGGAATATTCTGAAAAAAATTGGACACGTTGTAAACAGTGGGATACGTGTCAGGGAATGTTCTGACATTGTTTTATTGCTTATTGGAATTTTAAGTTATCAAAATCACTCTCTTCGTATAATAATTTTTAATTCTATTCAGATCATTATCAAAAAAATTGAAAACTTACATTTCGAAATTTTTCTGATATTCTCTTGTAGTTTCAGTGGGATAAACTGACTAAGGTGGGTTACACCTGCTCTCAGGAGAGTTCATCAAGATGGCGGACGCGAGAGGACACGATAACTTATTAACTGAGGGTTGACCAGGTCCTGGCCAGGTAGGTAATTACTAATGTAACAAAAGATGTGGGTGATTCTTTTCGGTAGGTAGGTCGATTCCACGTCAAAAGGAACGGTAAATTAGGGAAGGGAGAGATAGTGACTTGATATTTATTAGAAATTAATAAACAAGGGTCACTAAAAATTGTGTTTTTGCAGGCGTCAGAAATCCATTAGGACCAATTAATGGCACTGTAATAAGCTATTTTAAACGGCCACATTTGTCACAATTTTTTCCTTATAAAATATTAAATAAAATTCGATGGCACTTGTTATATGTATTAAATAACATTTTTACTGTATAAATAAATTTTTTATGAATATATATATATATAATGTACAGTAGTTAACAGAATACACGTGGAACAATAGGTACCATTACGGCGGTTTAAAAAACTTGTCACTGTATTCAATTAGAACAAAAACCAGACCTTCATTATAATGTACAGTGTGTCCTTAATTACACGAGCGAGAAAAAACATAAAAATTTGCGCGGCTAACAAAGTGGCAGCGTTTTCAAAAGGAAGGGCCACATTTTCCAGGCAAGGTAGCCTTTTCTCAAGCACCAAATAAAAACTAACAAAGCTACAATTATTATATTAGCCCAGAATATTCCTGTCGAAATTTTCAAAATTTCCAAATTAGACACCAACCTCTTCAAACTCCTGCAACTTTCTCAATTTTTCGAATTTCCAAAAAATTCTTTCAGATTCTTATTCTGCACAGTCTATGCTATAAACTGACGCAATTAAATATTTTTTAGCTCGTGCAACAGTGTACTGTCATAACAGCCTCCGAAAATCAATATGGCGGCCAAAGAGAGCGAGGAGAGTGGGCAGTGGAAGAAAGTTGATTCTACAAGAGGCGGCAATTACGATGGCCAGGAGTGGGGGGATATGGAGAATGTTACTGGCCTTTCCCACGAAATTTCATAGCTCTCTGACAAGTTCCACGTAAGTCACTTACAGGCTCCCCGTTGATGAACCAGCTGAGCATGGCAGCTGGCTTCGATTTCGCCGAAGTGCAATTGAACCGCACCACATCACCGACCTGATAGCGGTGCCTCCCTGGCCTGCCAGTGATAACCGGCTCGTCTTCTGGCAGGGCTGCAACATATCACCAATTTTTCGGTTAAAATTAAGATATCTGTAAATCGTAGTACGAATGGGGTAAGACGATTAGGGGGCTTTCTTATCGTCGTCAGATGCACGCCTTCAAAGTATATAAACACCCTTTAGTCATCTTTTCTTCCTTTCAATAGCAGCGGATATAATTTAAATGTCCATTGTAAATGGGACATCCTGTATACACGTGCGAAGTACATATCGCAGGGGAGGATTCAAGGCGTAGAAATAACGAGAAAACGTGCACCCCTGTGATACTTCCCTCATATTAGGAAATATCCTGTTTACATGGTACAGCCTGTATATGCAAGTACCAATACACTTTGAAATACGCGTTTTTCCTCTAATGAGAGGACATGGAGAGAACCGTCAAAATTCATCAATGCCGAAAAACAAACTTTTCAAGAAAATATTTCCCTCTTGTCGTTTAACCACTTCCCGACGAACTCTCAATTCTTCGCGCATACACTTGACCACGTTCTTTCAGGAGTCATTTTTGAACGGTGAATACATAAAGGCATCTTTTAACAATTCAACGTGCTTTGTACTCGTCTCTAACAACGACATAAACCATAGCGAGCGTTTCGAAAGAAACACGTCCGTCACCTTTTTTCCGTCGAAACATCACCAAGTACTCTGGTGATTGATTGCACACGGTCTTACGGTGGAGAGAAAAGAGGAAAGGATCATTCCCAAATTAACCTACGTTTCCTTTACGCTAAATGAAACGACCCTGATGTTAAATTTCATAGATTTGACAGCGTGGTCGATAGAAAAAAGTACGTTCGATGTTTGTACTAAGCTAAAAACGTTCGCCAACAGGGTACAGTAGAAGGGGGGGTAGTGAACATACTGTGAACACTTCTTACCCACTACCAGCATGTCCGAGTGATCGGAGACCGTTTGGAAAGATGGCGCCTCCGCTGACACTTCGCATCTGTATCTTCCGCTGCTCATCAGATTCACCGAGTACAGAACCACCGATCTCTCGGTTGAATTATGAATCTGGAAAAAAAGGAAAAGAATTGCCTTCTATGCAGCTTTGTTTTGTCCAATTACCCCAGGTCAATTAACCTTGTGGAGTAACGTTTAACGGTTAAATTGTCTGTGGTAGCTTTTCTTTCGCGATAATTCTCGGAATTGGAGGGAAAAAGTTGGTATTTATTGGTACAAGATGGCTGTTCCCCCCTTTTGTGCGCGGAAGATTGGCAGCAAACGACTATAGGCGGTTTACAGTAGAATAGTTAGGTTAATCGTAAAAATTAGAAATTATCGTTTTTATGGTTGGAAAATTGGTACTAAGTACGTATAGATGGTTTATGGTGGCAGAATAATTCTTTTAGAGTGGTTATGCCTGTCACAGACTTGGTACACATCTCGACAAACAGATTTCTACTTAAAAAATTGTTCCGCCATGAATCTAAACTCTCTACGATACCAATTTCAATTTTTCTACCAGGTGTTACGTTTACCACAAACTTAGCATAACCAGATAAATATTATTAGCTCTCCTTTGTCCACTTAAATATTCCAAACGTATTACACATTTTTAAACACTCTAACAAAGTGTTACTATTTTTTAGGTTAGGTTCCAGCAGCCATGACAGTTGGAAAAGGTTCGCGGACCGGAAACCCGGCAATAATGCGCGATAAAAATAAAAAGTTACTCGCTTTAAATAGAAACCGCCGCGCTGGAGGAACGAGGAGGGGGGCTGAGCATCGACACAAGGGAGAGACGAGAGAAAAATCAATACGAAGTGATTCTTACATTCGCCGTGACACCTGGCAGCTGAAAGACGAGCACCGGCGGTCTGTCCTGTGGCACGAATCGATAGAACTCGTTCCCGTCTTTGTACCACTTTACCGAGTACAATAATTCCCCGTCTAAATTGAAGTTGCACTCCAATCTGATGTTCTGCCCGCGGACCACGTGCTGCGGAACCATCAGTTCCAGCATCCTCAGCGCGTCTGTGCCTGCAAACATCAAGCATAAACAAGAAATTAATCGTAGGAAATTCAACTAGAAATTTCAATTACGAATTAAGTTAGATTCAGTTAGGATGAGGGATTGTTTAATTGTGATTTAAGTTCTGGAATTTTTCATTGTGATTAAAGGTAAAAAAGAATTTGCTGGCAAAAATTTCTACGAAATATGTAACCACCTGAAAGAAAAAAAGAATGCAAATTCTTCTCTATAATAGGAGAACGCCGCCCAGCTCATTACGAACTTTTCCAAAGTTATTCAACGAAAACTGTTCAACAGAGAAAAATTTCCAAAAAAATTCAATTTTGAATTTGTCGGAAACAGCAGAGCCCGTGCACAATACCCAGTTCATACCGTGGAGATTACCTCACCAGTGCCGTCCCCGTTACCCCCCGCCCCACCATCCACACAGGCATTTCAGAAACAAGAATCGAGCTGATAAAAGGTTTTTCATGAACGATTGCGCGGAAAACGCGTGGTGAACGTTACAACGAATCAGCGGAAGGTTAAAAGGCAATTCTATGGTTCTGTCCCTGGGCTTGCACGCGAGAAACACACGTGAGAATGGCCTCATATACCAGCGGCGTCGAATACGATTCACTGGCCTCAACACCTCTATTATCGTTGTCACGCTCCGATTGTTAGTCCATTTAATAGCAAAAGAGGAGGACAGTCCTCCCTTTGAAATTTCCATTCCAGGAGAAACTTTGAAATCTCTGCGACGAAAAGAAAAAAGAAAAAGAGAGAGTTCTGTTCTTGGAGTTAGTTGGAAGATTTCAGTCATCTCCGTTGGAAAAATTAAAAGTCAACCTAACCTAAACTAATCTAAGTTATCCTTGTACAGATTTTTGTTTAAATTTGCTTGAAATTTCACTAATCGATGATCAGATAATTCATTCAGTTCTAACCTAACTCCGACAAACGTGAAAAAATTTTAAGTTCAACCCAACTGACAACTAAATTAAACTCCGTGAAAAATGTCATCCTAAAAGATGTATCGAACCGAGAATTGTCTGCCAATTATTCCCTTTATATTTTTTCGAAATAAAAAAAGAAAGTATCGACGATCTCTCATATCTCTCCATCCAAATTGCGTCCAAAAATTCCATAACTCACACGTCCTCAATTAGAGACAAAAATTGTTTCCCAATTATTTTACGGAGTATGAAGCTCGTCTGCGTAATTTTTCTTCTTTTTTTTTTAGCTTGAAAACGGGGCACGAGAGATTGCAATTAGAAAATCCGCGTGCACCCGGTTCGGATATCAATTCCTGCAGCTCGCAAAGTCGTCCTTAACTCTCCACGAAAGAGAGAGAGAGAGAGAGGAAGAGATAGTTTGCAGTAGAATTATTGGTAGAAATAAAAGGACGTAGAGAGAGAGAGAGAACTGTTTGTCGCTTATCTCGCGGCGTGCTTTGATTTCACCCCCCGCCTACTTTCTAGCCCCATTACTTTTAAATGCGGCGAGCATTAACTCCGAATCGGCCGACATTAAGGGCACACTATGCAACAAAGAGGATTATCTCGAGGAATTTGAAAGAAAATAATCATTTTCAAGCACGAGAGAAAAAAAATAGATGAAAAAAAAGATAAAATAGTAGTTTTACTGTTGTTCTTGGAAGACTGTGTCACTTTGACATTCTGTAATTAATAGACCGTGCAATTTTTTTTTTATTTCGATGTAGGTTAGAAGAGAACTCGACCAGGTTGTTCCATCGATAAAGGAGAATATCTTTATTTACCAGTAGGGATTCAAAATGTCGAAAAATGACGAAAATTCCAGTAGGGCATCCTCTGCAATTTTAAATATAGCCTTCGATTGGTGTGAAGTGACCTACATTATCGACTGTCAGTTATGAAAAGAAATATTCATTTTTAAACAAATTGAATTAGTGAACAACTGGGTAATAGCATAGACGAAGTACAGGATAGATCTTGCATCATGTGATGAATCATTCACTAATAAACAATTACGTTACTTTGTACCGTTAACTTTGTACTTTGTAACCACTACTAATATTCTAATCTTATTCTATGCTGAATCGGTAACGTTGGTAGCGACACGAAAATGGTAAGGGTCTTCTCGGTCCCAAAACCCCGGACAAGTCCCATAAAATGCAAGGTTTATCCTGTACGTCGTCTGTGGTAATAGAATATCGATTACCGTATGTTTTCGAGATAGGTATCGTAAAAAAATTCACAAACTCAATTTTTCTAAAATATACCTTTTCCAAATTGTTCTAATTATTTTACAAATTTCTAAACTAAACATGGAGAATCTCCAGACTAAAGAAGTAATACTATTTCACATTGAGTATTTCTCACACAAAATTAAATAAAAAACACGTGGTCCCCTTTCTCAATACATAAACCAAATACATTATTATATTCTAAATAATCCTTCTTATCCTAATCCAACCTAACCGACGAATCTAAGCTTCTGAATTTCCAAAGATCCAAAAAATAATTAAAGGGAATTGAAAGGGTTATGTGGATGGTGTTGGAGGGAGGAAAAATGGTACTCCGTGAAGATAAGGGAGTAGAACGCAATATTTGAATGAGGAAGAGTCGCGATGGAGGTCAAAAATATTTTGTTCCGCGAATTGTCGTGGGACTAGTGATTCACAGCTGCAAAAACCGATCCAATTACATATTTCGCGAGCGGCAGGAGGCTGGTCCGCTTTTATCGGCCACTAGTGCATCGACTGTGGCGCCACGTAGCGTCCATACTGGGAAGCTCTCTGTCGACTCGTACGTCGAGCTTTTGCGACCTGGCGCGGAATTGTGGCTTTGTTTCTGGCTGATGTGTAACGATTTTTCTCTTTCACCGCACCTTCGTTTTTCCTCGTTTTTCCTGACAAATGGATGAGAAATTCCACAAATATTTTAAAGGTTTTTTTCTTCCTGTTTTGGAGAGAAAAGGTAGGAAATGTTAATTTTCGAAGATTGTGAGGTTAGTAGAAAAATTGGAGGCCGTCTTTAAGGTGCTTCGCCCTGAATTGGGGAAGGGAGTGATTAGTGTTGAGGTTATAGGGTTGAGATGGATTTTCAAAGAAGAATTCAGAAATATTTGAGAATATTTTAAAGGTTTTTGTTTCAACTTGTCGAGAAAAGGAATTAAAGAGTTGCTTTGAGAAACAACTAAGCAGTATATTAGAGGTCTTTTAATTGTAGATTGTAGTATTGATTATGTGGATCAGATTACTTGTTAGGTTAATAAGGCTAACAATCAGATACCTGTAAATTTCATCTACCTTCTAAACAGACATATCCAATGAAAATAGAACTGTAAGAAATACATAAGTAGAATACTAGACAAGAAACAAATCTGATGCTATATTATACATTATATATAATCCGATACTATATACTATATCATAATTTATTTATAATGTAGTATATGCTCTTTATGTTATATAATAATATGTAAGCAATTTCAGAATCTCGATACACGTTCGATGTCCGTCGTCCGTATACAGTCGAATCGTATCGGGATTTCGATACGCCCGTACGATACTTTCAAGATCTCGATACATTTGTACTTAAATAAGTATGCAGTCGGATAGTTGTGGGATCTCGAAAGGTCCTATGTCCTACGATACTTTCGGGTTCCCCTATGCCCTAGGATGCTTTCGGATTCTCGATGCGTATCGTAATCTCGAGAGCTCGTCCGAACTCGGCCGAGATTACTCGAGCTGACCCGAAGATTCTCGAGAACCCGCATACCCCTTCACCGAAGATGTTCACCAAGGCAAATATTTTTCTCATCCGCCTGGAAATCGCTCGTTATCATAAGGTGGGGACACTTCCTTTGCCAAGTAACCCGACAAAGGGTTGAATCTTCCGTTGAATTCCTGGGTCTCTGCAGAGAGAGGTCCTGATGGTGGGGTGGCGTTCGAAGAAAAGAAATTAGCTCCATAAAGCGACTATGGCAGTGGAGGGGAGGGGAGATGTGCAGGGTCCGCTGTTGTCCAAGAAAGATAGCAAACGAGTGGTTATTAAAGGAGACAGAAAAGGGAGGGAAACGATAAGAAAGAAGGGCACGGTGAATGGTGATGTAAATGGCGTGGCGCGTCGGCGTGTGAAAGGGAAAAGGAGGAAGAAAAACCGGTGATAAGTGTGAAGACCACCGTTGAAGAGTGACAGAGAATGAAAGACGAGATAAGAAGGCTTGATAACGATAGTATTGCTAGGACCTCGGAACTCCATACTCCTCCTCCAACTCGTTGGTCCTATTTTTTAATTGTTTAGCAGTGGTAGTTTTAACGTGGTTTCTGGATGAATAATTAGAGAGGAAATTGTGGAGGTTCTAAGAATAGGAATTCTGCTTTGTAAAGTATAAGTTAGGTTAGGGTAGGGTAGGTAATAAGTGGTTTAAGGGTCGTGTAAATGGGGCTGCAATTAAAAAGGAAATTTGTTGAGAAATTCTGAAAATAGGAAGGACGTGTTTGGATTCTAAATTATAATTTATATATTGTACTTGTAAAGAATCCCAAGCATTCTGAATTGCAAATTATAAATTCTAATTCAGCTCAAACTTGAGAAAATATGTAACAAGTGTTCCAGGCACCGTATAAATGGCAACAAAATTTAAAAAATTTTAAAGAAACGTGATCCAAGTGTCGTTTAAATGGTAACTATACAATAAAACCATCTGGCATCATGTTGAAAAAAATTCCAAGGGCAGGAAGAAACTGTTCCAACAGCAACACACATAGTAATTTCGTTTAGTTACACATTTTGTTTCGAAAATTTTGCAGAAATTTTCGTGTAGAAAGTAACCTCTTCTCGTGCCAGTATCGACTGCACGTCTATAGGCCATCGTTCTCACCCTCCAAGGAGAAGTCGAAATTGAAAGTCGTGGTCGTGAAAGGTCTCTACGGCGGAAAGGGACTGCGGGGCATGTAAAGAGAAGAGAGGGTAGAGTTGATGAAATAACGAGTGCTTAGACTGAGAACGTCTCAAATATGAATTCATTCGCAGTTCACGTTGCAAATGATAACCCATGCATATTGAACGGCAGGGGGTCCCCCTGATTTGTTCCCGTGAGTCAGTCATTGCACGCGTCTCAGCGCCTGCACCGTGTCACACGTGTTTGCCGACATGTGTTGGTACGTATGCGGCGGCGATGAATAAGCGCGCACACGTTTCCGCTTTTATCAAAGTTGAATCGCTGGTGCGCAGCAAAGTTAACTTCCAAAGCTAAAGAGAGAAACGGAGAGAGCGTGGGAGAGAGAGAAGAGAGAGAGAGGCACGTCTACGAAGTCGACATCGTGGTTAATTAGGTCGACGATGTCGTTCCTTCTTCGCGGAAGACCCGATAAACCATGAACACCCTGGTCGCCTGGACCGGGCGGAAATTCTCTTAATTACACCTTTAACTATCGCCAAATGTACTTGCAGATCGGATTGATCCGTTTACCCAATATCTAGGTGCCTATGTACGATAAAGAGCACGCCTGGAATCGTAGGAAGACTGACTTTTACCAACGGCAATCTAATATTGTGCTCTTCTAGTTTGACTTGCGAGAACGGAATAAACGGCGACGGGCGCGAATAATCCGGCCTAGCCTCTATGAGCTCCTCTTGACTTCTTTGATCGCCGGGCTTCTGGGCTTCTGATGTTTGACTATTCGCGACCGAGTGCTTTTTTAAAGCAGGTAAATGTGTCAGGGCGTGCGGAACGGAAGCATTTGTACCGATGTTCCTTAAATCCGGGGAGAGCTACATAGAGACAAGGACATATAATTGCGCATTAGGTTTATGATTGAGATCTGGGTTGCTTGTAGTATGTTTACTGTGGTCCAATGTATTATATTGACAGTGAAAAAATTTGAAATTGCTAGGGAGAGCCGGGGAGAGCCAGGGAGAGACAGGGAGATCCCACTGTGGCTTAGGGCCACATTCAAGTTCTGGCGGCTGGTTATATGATTTTCAAGCTCCAGCGTATCACTCTAAGTGCAAAAAATATTTGAAATTCTAGTGGTGGGGGAGGGAGTACCTGGAAAATGCATGAGAGAGCTAGGAAGATCATATTATCTATGATATAGTTTTAGCGACCTGTTGTATGATTCTAGAGTAGAGATAGAGTAGATCAATTTAGAGGAAAGGCTGCTTGCTTCTGTTTCTCCCGATCTTGAAATGCTTCTGTCCGCTCAAGTTTACTAAATACTTGGCTAGTGAAACGTTGAATCTCTCGTTAATTGCCTGGAATTAATCTCCAAATGGAAGTAGGACTGTGCTACTACTTGCCTTTGACACAAACATCAAAGGTGGAAATTTCCATTGGCTTCAATCCCAGCTCGACACGGATTCCAAGAAACCGTTACCTAATTAGCCTAACCATCTCTTTTGTCTTTCAATCGTTGTAATTGAACCAACATATCCACCATACCCGGACAGCCATGTAGCTAATTAACGCTTCAAACAGATACCAAGAGTAAACCAACCACTTAGATATATCACTGAACATCTTATTGGATTATTCGTACGTACACCCTCTATGCGTACACATCAAACAATCTTAATCCAAGAGATGCCTTAAAGCGACCAGACGGACGCTATCGAATCGTCAGAGGAGAAGAGTGGAAATAGAGAAATCCACGTGGGACAATTGGATCTCTGGAAGATCGTGGAAGCCTTTTCGTTTCGTAGAGTCGGTGAAACGAAATGGAAAAGGGGGAACCAGCAGAGAAAGGGAATAGGGAACAGGTGTCATCGCGGTAACCCCATCAGTGTCTGGACACTCGCTTAATTTCGCCTCGGTGTTGCTTTACGGAAATCCTACACCGTCTCATAAACGAAGCCACCTACCTGCCAGCCTCACCGGCTACCTACTGGCCATTACGAGAAGGGCAAACGGTGTCGAATGTCGTGCTTTGTGGAGTCGTGGCAATGGCGATTCTGACGACAAACATACTTTCAGCGTTTTTTAACCTTCCCTAATGATACCATATATACCTACCAGCACATGATGACTTTTTCAACGATTCTTCCAATTTTCATTGTCTATTCTATCGTGTAACACGAAGTGCTGGCTTTTTCAGGGAGGAATGAAAATTGTCCAATCCCTTGAATCCTTCGAATAAACATCAAAGTCTAATATTATTGTTGCTCCAACACTCCACAACAGAGGAATTAAACGTAACTCGTGTCTGCGATGAAATAACGAGTTCGGTTACGTAATTAACGACCGCCAGCCAATTAACAGCTTCCACGAGAAGCCAAGCTCTCGTGACTGGTGATGTCACGATATGGGATATGCAATGCTATGTAATGCAATTAACTCAGCGGCTCAGTCACACTTTTGACCGTTTGAATTTTAAACTAATCTATATATCAAAATTTTAAGTATAGTTGGGGCCACGATATAGCGAGGTCGTAAATTAAACTCTCAAGAATCGGCATCGATTGATGTTGCGACACTCAAGGCCGTGTGTTGCAGTCTGTTTGAGGGTTCCAACAATAAACGAATGGTAGCATATGATTTGGTACTTCAAGTAGAAAATGGTATTTCATTTACAAATGGAAAATATGTTAATATTAAGCTACACAATCTTTTTGCACTTTCTATCTGTATATAACACGAGTAGATAAACTAAGATGCTAAAGACATCAATAAGACCTTTACCTGTAACCGTACTTCCAAAAGCGGCTTCCCCCAGAGGGAGAAACCCTAATTTGTCCTAGCTGCATGCAGTTTTCAGTAAGTATATTAGAATCAGTTGACTTTCGCTGGATACAAGAATTCTTCGTACGGTCCTGACAATGGTTTCAAGTACTTATCTGCTAGTATCTCTGTCAATTTTCGGGCCACGGCAGCTAAAACTTGTTTACTTTGACGTCTGACCGATTTTACGACCTCGCTATATCGTGGCCCCGACTATAATCAAACTCAGTGGAATATTTCCTTTTTTTTTATCGAGGTGTTGACTTCCAAATGAAAGACGAGGAAAAGTTGCTCAGATTTCGAAGGGTTAAAGTAGCGACAATGGTCGCTATTGGACGCCCTTCACTTGTTAGCCACTGACCCGAAATACATCGATACCGGGTGAAACCGTAAGTCGAGATGGACGGGGAAGACCTTTTCACCCTTTTGTCCATGGTGTAGTGCCATAACGTTGGACGTGACTCGAGCTAAAGGGGCGACCACCGAAAAGTAATTTAGATATTTATTTAAGTTTAAGGAAAGTGCGTGCGTGTGTGAGAGTGAAAGAGAAAGAAAAGGAAAGGGAGTGACTAAGAGTCACAGAGGAAACGTGAGAGTGACTCAGAGGTATTGAGAGAGAGTGTGTCAGAGAGAGAGAGATGCGTGTCGAGGACTCTCTACAAAAAGGGAGAACGAAGGCAGTGAAGTATGAACCGTGAATGAGAGAATTCTGACCAGACAGGTGCGGTCTTGAAATATTGCAATTTTTTTCACATGTGTCGTTATCATAGTTTAGGACTAATAGTTAACAAATACATAAATACACATTTTCTTCTGACGTCACTGCCGGCTAGCCTTTTCCTTTCTTTTATCCCGCAATCGTAATAAACGACACTGCCAGTGACTGATCCAAAGGAGTGAAGAGAAGTCGAGAGGAGGTTCTCTTTCCTGTTGGATCGATGATACTTCACGGGACACCCTGATTTATGGTGCACACTCATAGAGAGGTAGGGAGAAGCCCTTGTACACACAAATACAAACAGGTTGCATGGGGTGCAAATGAACGTCTTGTTTGGGGTTAGCGTTTCTGACGAGCTTAGGGTGCTTCTCAACGGGCCGATTATGGTCATTAGCGGTGATTTGACGATCTGGTACAAAGTGTCAAGTGCTTTTGTACAATTCATTGTACATTCGAGAAACGGGTCGAGCGTGATTCATTTTTTCTTCTTAATGTCTAGTGTCAAATTCTTTCGATTTCCCTTTCTCGTATCGGACAAAATGGTGGACAAAAAACCGTTCGGATTGGTGTTCATCTTTTCTCCTATTTTTGTCCACGCGGAACAAAATGACGAATGATTAAACGAAATTTTTCGGGTGGGTTTCCAACAGTATTCAACCGAAACGATGTCAAAGGTATGTTCGAGGCCAAGGAAGTGAAAAACACCGTCAGTACCATAAAATAAGATCCAGCGAATAAAAAGCGGTTGCACAAACATATAAATTACAGCCCAGGGGTTTAATTAAATAATACCCAGAGAATTTATGGCCGAGTTGATATTTGATATTGAGCCGCTTCTGCGAAAATAGGGACGGGGAGGGTGAGAGGGAAGTAGAAAATCCGCGAAAAAGGAGAGAGAATATAAACGGAGATAGTGGAGAATATGAGTGGGGAAGGGAAGGGAACGTTGATCGAACGAGCGACCGGCTTTGCCCGACTTAAGTCTAGTTTCCATATTTATTCATATTCAAAACGTGCGACAATCGTACAATCTGTCGTATAAATTTCCCCCATTTTATCGCGTCCCTTTTGCGTCCTCTTTCTCTAATTGATGGAAATCTGATCACGAAAAAGGGGGAGGGGGGAAAAGAAATGGAAATGTTTTTTAAAGAGTTCAGCTAGGATTTATCCGCTTTGGAAAATATTACCTGAATATAAAAATTGGTCAGATGCTCAACGGAGAAATGGCAGTGCTATTTAAAATTTATATCGGAATTTTTCTGTTCGAAAGTCAGGAAAATGAGGAAAAGATATTGAACAAAGATTCTTCTGCTTCAGAAAGTAAGAAAATAAAAATGACCGATTGACAAAGGTTAAATTACGAATTTAGTGATCCACATGACTCAGGATACATTTCGACGTATTAGATTCCATGGTTGCCCTCGAAACAGCTAATCGGATAAAGGGTCACCCCGTTTTGGAATTGCCGTTTTTATTCGACATTATCGTTTCAGCGGAACGCCCGAGGGCTAAGCGAATTGTCAGGGCGGAGAAAATGAGTGTTGACTGAGTCACGTTCCTTTTTTTCCACCCTCTATAGCTTCTATCCGGGCGCGGGAAATATCGAGGAGTCATTTATATTCCGATAAACATCATGGAATAATAAATGCCACGGCAAACCATGGCTTAATAT